AACACTCATATACAAAATAAAAATAAATTAAATAAATATGGAGAAAATGGAAAAATGGAGAGGTTATAGAACCTAGAGGAAAACCTACTTTTGTCACATCCCTAAACCAAAGTAATTTCTTACTTTAGTCTAAATAAGCATCCTCATATTTACAGACAAATGTACCTTTCACACCTCATCAAAGAAGCTTCTTTGAGCAAAAGATGGAGACTACCACAGAGTTCCAGAAGTAGTCAAACACTGAGAATAAGTACATGTGAGATGCTTAACCCTAAGTGACACATCTTCGATGCAACCTCTACACATAGGATGAATACATCTCTCAACTCTCACCAGAGAAGCTTCCTTATGCAGTAGATGGTGAAACCCACGACTAGTCAAAATGCAGAGAACAAGAGGATAGAGAATGTGCCTCCTGGAACAGGACATCTATTTCACTTCTGCCTCCCAAGGCTCAGGGATCACTGTGCAGAAATATTGTAGGAGCCAGAGGTGGTGGATGACCACAAGGAAATAGGTTTTCAGACAGCTGGTCAGTTACTATATGAACTTACAGCAATAGCAGCAGCATGCGCACGTCTTATAAAAGCTCAAGCCAGACAAAATAGACATGGGAAAATGGCTAAGAAATCCCAACCTAACCCAAAGAACTTTTGAAACTGATGACTGCTGGGTAGGGGAGAGAGTGTCTTACAGGGATGGGACTCTTGGTGGGCCCAGTGGATTGACCAACACTGAAAGACATTTGGGGATAGAAATCAGACTCTATAAGCCATATTTTATATATATATATGAGAGATTACATTAAATTGGGCAGGGGTAGTGGGGGCAAGCGTGGATGGGGAGGGGATCTAAATACCATCAAACTGATTGTATGAAAATCACAAAAATTCAAAATTTAAATAGATAATTTTAAAAATGAAAAATAAGTAAATAAATAAATGAAGCTGTCTACCTAAAGCTATTAAATCTCTTTTTAAAAAATAAAAATCAAAGCCAGGTGTGGTAGTGCATGCCTGTAATCCCAGAACTCAAGAGGCAGAGGCAAACTAATCTCTGTGAGACAGAAGGATCACCTTGAACTAGAAGCCAGCCTGGGCTACACAGCAAGTTCCAGGTTAGTCAGGGTTATATAATAAGACTTTATGCAGGCAAAACACTCAAAAGAACAAAATAATATACCTTATAACATTGCAGATCTCTTTTTGGAGAGAGATATCTTATAAAATCATTGTTAGAAAGCGTTTAAATGCAACTCAGTTCATAGTTTTCAAAATCAGACAACTGAGGCTGGAGAGATGGCTCAATGGTTAAGAGTGCTTGCTGTTCCTCCCAAGGACCTGAGATCAGTTCACGCACCCACACTGGGCTACCCGTGACCCCAGTCTCAGGAGAACAAACATCCTCTTCTGGCCATTATAGATAGCCACATATATGTGGTGGACACAAATTCACATAAATAAAAAGAAAATAAAATCTTGTTAAAAATCAGCTTAGGCCAGGCATAGCAGCACATGCCTTTGATTCCAGCACATGGGAGGCAGAGGCAGGCAGATCTCTGTGAGATCAAGGCCAGCCTGGTCTCCATAGCGAGTTCCAGGACAGCTGTAACTACAGGGAGACCCTGTCTCAAAAAGACAAAATAATAATAGTAATAATAATAACAATAATTAAATAAATAAAAATCAGCTTAGATGAAATTGTGCCAACAGATGGCTGTCAGAAGGGGCAGAGATAGTCTCTTTCAAGAATGGGATGGGCTCCAATGGATGGACCCACACTGAAGGACATTTGGAGACACAAATTAGACTCCATAGGCTAAAACAGAGAACATTAAATTGGGCAGGGGGCAATAAGGGAAGGTGTAGGTAGAGGAGGGGATCTAAATACCATCAAATTATATTGTATGAAAGTTGCAAACACTCAATTTTTAAAAATAAGTTTAGGAAAAAAAACTATAAAGAGCTCTTTGCACATTATTGAAGAACTTTAACGTCTTCCATAAGATATTAATGTAAAGATGAAAATCAGGACATGAAAATAAGTATGCAGAAAGTAATGTTTATGAAAAACTGAAATCATTATTATATGTTCACCCACTGGTAGAGTACTTGCTCAAAAAAAAAAAGTATGGTCTATTTTATGTAGTAAGAAGAATGCTATTTCCTTTAATGTTTCACTACTACTGATCAGCCACTTCCTGGTCCTTCTATTTTCACAGGTTTCCTGTAATACAATTTACATAAAATAGAACACTCATTTTCAGTGTGTAGTCTTAGAGCTGACCAACCACTGTGATTTCTAGTTTTAGAACATCACAACTCCCACCTCGATGCTCTGTTTCCACAAAGAAAATGCCTCTGAATGTTATCTGGCACAAACAGAATGTTATATTCTCACGTCAAGGTTGGAAGGATATATTTTTTTTTAATTTTTTTTTTTTTGGTTTATGCAACTTTATTGAAAAATAAATCATTTTTAAAAAATATTTTATTTATTTTTATGTGTATGAGTGTATTGCCTGCATGTATGTGAGTGCACCCATGTCGTGCAATGCCGTAGAGGTCAGAAGAGGGCTTCGGATTCCCCTGAAACTGGAGTTATAGACAGTTCGTAGCAGCCACATGGGTGCTGGGAATCGAACCCGGGTCCTCTGCAAGAGCAGTCAGTGCTCTTAACTGCTGAGCCATCTCTCTAGCCCCAGAAGGATATATTTTTAAGTACTTGCCATTTAATAATAGTATATTCACTAAATGGCAAGGACTTAAAAGTATGGATAAACTAAGTTACTTTGAAGATGACCAAAACAATCATGAACATTTGAACTTTGACAGTTGAGACCAATTAAATATTTCAGTACAAACATTCTACATATGTTGATGTTTTAAGTATCAGTATCTCTAGGCTGGGTGATCTCTAACATCTACAAACGTGTTCTTCCTGGGACTCTAGGATTTTTATTTCCGTTATGAAACGCCAACACCAAGCTCATCATTTTAATCCTCGTCACTAAGAGTAACTGTCAAAGAAATATCAAACTCAAAGAGGTATCAATGATGTGCAGACTTAATAAAAATCTGACAGGAAAAAAAGAACTGTCATTTTAACTTTAATATATATTTTTTAAATTTATTATTTTTTATTTTATATGTATTATTTTTGCATGTATATGAGTGCACCCATGCCGTGCAATGCCACAGAGGTCAGAAGAGGGTTTCGGATTCCCCTGAGACTGGAGTTAAGGATGGTTCATAGCCATCATGTGGGTGCTGGAGAGAGAGAGAGAGAGAGAGAAAGAGAGAGAGAGAGAGAGAGAGAACCAGCCTCTCAATGAAGAGGTAACCTAGCCAACGCAATAGAAAGTCTCATACATAGGAAGAGGTAATGTATTCAACTTTGTCTACAAGACAGAAATTCTACTCCTATCCATTTACCTAACAGATAAATGTATAAACATCCGTGTATATATATTCACCAATGTTTGCTATCAGCATTCTGGGGTATGTACTCACACAAACAGGTATATTTTTGTGGTGCTGAGGAATAGGGTTTATATGTGCTAGACAGGCACTCTAACACTGAGCTACATCCCTACCCCTACCTACCAGAACTATTTGTAATAGCTGAAAGTTTGAAACTACATAAATGTCTGTCGATATTAGAATGAATAATGAATTGTGGCATAGCTACACAATGGAATACAGGCCTTAGTAAGGAGAAAACTGTTATATGTGGACAAATCTCACTAACATTGAACCAAATAAGTCAGGTACGAAAGACAACAGAGGGTATGATGATTTACAGAGCATTTGAAAACACATAAAAACCAATTTGTAGCATTAAAAAGCAGGACAGTGGCTACCCAAAGCAGGAGAGTGTAAGTGTTAGCATGAGAGAGGAGAGGGAGAGAAACTAGTAATCCATGAGAAAGTCCTTAGGGATGCTAGGAATCTCTCTTAGTGAGATGAAGATGCTCAGATTTTGACCCTGTGAAAATTCATTAATTTGCATATTTTCGTATGTATGTTATTTTTCAGTAAAAAGTTTATATGAAAAGAAAACCACTCTACACTCTCGGGATAGTCAGAACAGACATCAAAAGCTTAAGAAAAGCATCCGACATCTTCTAAAGATCGTATTAGGAACTTGTCTCTGTGTAGCTTGGGTAATTTAGACCAGTGCTACAGAGGTTAACCTTCCAAGGGAGGGCTGCAATAACTGGTCAATTCCTAGAAAAAGAAAGAATCCACCGAGTGAATACTAATGCCTAAACTCCCTCTCTCCAATCACTGTGCTTTTTGTACTCTTCTCTATGTTTAGACACATTTCTACCCTGACTTGTAGCAATAGTGGCCTTCACTGAGGTTTCCAATTCTGAAGTCCCTGACAGGCAGAATTGAGCCAGAGACTGCATGTTCACTTATTTCAAATACTATTTTACATCATTAGCTGCCTCAAGGAAAAATTTACATTAAGATATATGAATAACCATTACTATTTTAAAAACTGGATCAATTCCCAGAGTGCTTTTTTTCTTTTTCTTCATGTCTGGAGGGGATGGGGTGCATGCATGTGTGCATTCATGTGACCGCATGTGGAGTCCCAAGGCTGATGTCAGGAATCCTCCTCCACTGCTCTTCCATTGCTCTCTTACCTTATCCTTTGAGGCAAGGCCTCTTAATCAAACCCAGAGCTCACAGACAAGGCTAGTCCCTCTAGCTAGCTTGGTCTGGGGAATTCTCTATTTCCAACTTCTGAGGCTAAAATTACAAATGAGCCCCCACAACCACTTGGCATTTATGTTCAGTCCTCTTGCTTGTGCTGCAAGTGCTTTAATAGCTGAGCCATCTTCCCAGTCCCAGAATGCTTTGAGTGCCTATATTAAACATATCCCCCCAACCCCTTCAGCCTCATCTACAAAGCAGAAAAAAAAAAAAAAAAGTGAGTTATAACACAAAAATCAAGAGAGGAACAAGACAGATATCATTAAAACATCTTACCGGTGCAGTTTGCCACCATAAAATGGTTTAGTATGAAAAGTGATGCTGGCTGAGTATCCAGTTTTTACACAGTTGACACTGACTTTGCCACCTAGTTCTACCCAAGGAACAGTCAAAATGGACCGCGCATAGGCACAGGGTAGGGAAAACGTGTAATCTTCTCCATGCTCCAGCAGACTAAGGATACCTGAATGTAAAAGTAAAAGAGTGGTTAACATCTTTTCAGAGAAACAGTTACCAAAAAAAAAATAATAATCTTCATTATTTTTTTGCTGTCTGGTAGTAAACATCATTATTTTGTAATCTGGATAATACTGGCTTCATCTGACAGCATTTCCTGGTAATAGTCAATCAGGGTCACTTTCACCATGACCTTACTTTTGCTCTGGGGTTCTGTTCAGTACATGCTACAGTGTAAACAGTTTGATGCTCCTAAATATAAATGCTCCTGAAAGATGAAATAAATCCCTTAACTATTTCCTACTGGCAATTTGGGTAACTCCTTCAGAGGATGGCGTGATAAGAATAGGAGGTAGGAATTGGCTGGGCAGTTAGCGTAAAAAGACCCCAAGGAAATGTAGCCAGTTTCTTGGCTAAAAGTCAAAATGTCCTTGGGCCTGTTAGCAACACACTCTGTTCCAAAGCCAAAAATGTCAAAAGTATTTGGGAGCTTGTATCTAATCCTTAAAAGATTTTAGGGTTACCTCTTCAGAGGGGGGGATGTTGGAGAGGAGAGAGTGGGCATGGATTTGATCAAAACACCTATTATATGCATATATGAAATTCTCAAAATTTCTGTAAAAATTTAAAAATAAATAATAATAAAAAAATTAAAAATAAAATAAAATAAATTTTTAAAATAAAAAAAAAAGTCCCTTACGCTGAGTTGGAGGCTCTACTACACAGTATCATGTTGAGACTTGGCTACCAACACTAGTAACCTTAGCAGCAGTTTGGGGGAAGCAAGACAGCCAGTGCCATAAAGATATGCAGACCTGTAAAAATTTAAAAATAAATAATAATAAAAAAATTAAAAATAAAATAAAATAAATTTTTAAAATAAAAAAAAAAGTCCCTTACGCTGAGTTGGAGGCTCTACTACACAGTATCATGTTGAGACTTGGCTACCAACACTAGTAACCTTAGCAGCAGTTTGGGGGAAGCAAGACAGCCAGTGCCATAAAGATATGCAGACCGTAAAACACAGTGTGGCGGGAAACTTGGTCTTTATTCTGGTCTATATATACTAAAGAAGAAAAAATGTATTTTTTTTTCCTCAGTAAAACCTAGGGTGACCCTAAACTTTGTCAAATTCTGAAGCTACCAGAGATAGAAGAGATCAAGATGGTCATTTTCAGACAAGTATTACTTTATGTTAAGTGATACCACAGTAAAGACAGCTGAATAAGTGATCTGTAATAGATAATGAAGAGACACTAAGCATACTTGACCTATATTACTAACCTTAAAAAGCTTACCACAGGCTGGAAAGATGGCTCAGTGGTTACAAGCACTGGCTGCTCTCACAGAGAACCCAGGTTCAGTTCCCAGCACCCACAAGGTGGCTAACACCATCCATAACTCCAGTTCCGGGGAATCTGACATCCTCTTCTGGCCTCGCACACATGTGGAGCATTTGCATACAGGCAGGCAAAACACTCACACATATAAATCTTTTAAAAAGTATTACATTTTATTTATTTAATGTTTGTATATGTATGTGTAGGGCATGTCAGAGGACAGTTTGTAGAAGTTGGTTCCAATTTGTGGGAGTTGTTTACAACTCAGGTAGTCAAACTTGGCAGCACTTTTACCTGCTGAGCCATCTTGCCAGCCCTACATTTACCAACACTCTAAGACCACCTGTGTTATTAGATCAAACACAGAACTGGACATGTACTTCTAGTCTAAGTCCTATGGCACCCCTCTTCATGAATCTACATTATGTGTCCTATTTTTTGTGTTTTTTGAGAGAGGGTCTCATTCTACTTAGACTGGCCTCAGATTCACATCAATACTTCTACCTCAGCCTCCCGAGTACTGGGATCACAGGCATCTGCCACCATGCCTGGCTAGTACTCTATCCTTTGTGTGCATGCGTGCACGTGTGCACATACACGTGTGTGTGTGTGTGTGTGTGTGTGTGTGTGTGTGTGTACACGCTTACTTTAGAAGCTAGGGGAAACCTTGGGTCTCGTTCCTCAGGTGTCATACACTTTGGTTTGGTTTTGGTTTGGTTTGGTTCAGTTGGGTTCAGTTCAGGGTTTGGTTCGGCTTGATTTGGTTTGTGTTTTTAAGATCATGTCTCTCACTAGCCTGGAACTCACCATGAAGGCCGCCAGGCTGGCTGATCACTGAGCCGTAGGGATTTGTCTGTCTCTGCCTTCCTTGCACTGGGATTATAAACTAGGTGCCTATTCTTGTCCATTATGATGAATGTTCTCATTTTTAGAATAATCAAAGACAAACTGGAATGGTGGCACATGCCTTTAAAGCAAGCATTCAAGAGACAGAGGCAAGTGGATCTCTGTGAATTCAATCAAGGCTAACCTGATCTACATAGCAAGTTTCAGGCAGCAAGAATTACATAGTGAGACCCTGTCTTAAAAAAAAAAAAGACAAATTGAGATTCTAAGGTTTATATATGCAAAAGGTACATCAATTATTTTTTAAACTACTTTTAACAGTCTTCACAAACAGCAAGAATGAATAGTTACTGAGGGCCAGAACTGTTGTTCTGGCCCTAAAGCACTCAGTGTGTGAAGCTCTGGGCTCTATCCCAGACATCAAGCAAATTTGGGGAGGTGGAAAGACGGTTCAGTGGTTAAAAGCACATACATAAAAGCTCTTGCAGATGACAAGTTTGGTTCCCTGCACCCACTGTAGACAGGTCCAACTGCTCAGAACTCCCTCTCCAGGGGATCAGATGCTTTCTTCTGTCCTCCACAGGCACTTGCACTCACATGTGCACAGACCACACACAGACATACACATATAGACATACCCATACACAGACAGACATACCCATAATTTAAAAACCAAAAAATAAATCTTAAAATATACATTTTATAAGTTGGGTATATGATCTCTTATATCTAAGAATATTTTGAGCAGAAACACACACTTTGGAATTTAAAATTTGAAAAACCACAAAACCAGGCTTGAATAAACATGATGGCAAGATAACTAAGACTGATAGAATCTAAAATCTCATTTATCTAGTAACTAAATAGAAGTTCACCCTAATATTGAAAACATACTAAGAGCAAAATGAATTGCCATAAATCCTATTCCTGATTTTGCTGTCATGAATCCCATTCCTTTAACTTTTTAAATATTTTACTTATTACTTTTATGTGTATGAGTGTATTGCCTGCAAGTATGTAAGTGCACCCACCATGCCATGCAAGTGCCCACAGAGGTCAGAAGAGGGCATGGAATTCCCCTGGAACTGGAGTTACAGACAGCTGTTAGCTGCCATATGGGTGCTGGGAACCGAACCCAGGTCCTCTGTAAGAGCAGCTAGTGCTTTTAAAACTGGAACAGAGGCAGGCGTGGTGGTACACATCTTTAATCCCAGCACTTGGGAGGCAAAGGCAGGCAGATCTCTGTGAGTTCAAGGCCAGCCTGGTCTACATAGTGAGTTCCAGGACAGCTGGGGCTACAGGGAGACCCTGTCTCAAAGGACCAAAAAAAAAAAAAAAAAAAAAAACTGGAACGGAGATGAAATATTTTCTTCCCAACTACAGTAAAACAATCTCATTATGTTGTATGACAGAATTTCGCCAGACTTACATTGTAAACTTACATTCAGAACAAATTACTGTTTGTACACTGTTTATATGTTTCCTTTAAAGTTAAAATGATGGTGGGGGCTGAAGAGATGGCTCAGCAGTTAAGAGCATTGGCTGCCCTTGAAGAGGAGCCAGGTTCAGTTCCCAGCATCCACATGGCGGCAAACAAGTGTTTGAAACTCCAATCCCAGGGGATCCAACATCCTCTTCTGACCTCCATGGGCATTGAATGACATGCGTGCACTTACATATATGCAGGCAATACACTGATACACATAAAATAAAAATAATAAATTTTAAAAATATATATTAAAGTTAAAATGACAGTATTTTCCCCATCATCAGAGTCTTCTTAACTCTTCCATGATTCTTGTGGAAGGTTTTGTTTTACATTCAAGGCCAAATCCACTTATTTCTTCAAATTATTTCTTCAAAACTACTGAATGAAACAATTAAACTTTGAAACTTAGTATTCTATACATACTTGCTAAGAAAATATGAGATATAAAGATTTATCTAGAAAATATTTTTATGATTTTTGTAACAATGAAAAGTTAGAAAACTTTCAATGTCCAAATAGAGGAAAATGGCTCAATAAAAGCTGATAAATGAGCCAAGTGTACCCGCACTTGAGAGGCAGAGGAGGGAGGGTCACATGTTTCAGACAATACAGTGAGTGCAAGGCCAGCAGTAAGTCTCCTCAAAACTGAGGCTACTGCTCAGTAGAGGAGCGCTTCCCTAGCACACGTAAGGCCATGGGTTCGATTCCCAGCACCCTTAAAACAAAATATGACTCCCAGCACCCTTAAAACAAAACAAGGATGGCAAATGCATTTCATAGGATCAACATTAACATATGTGTTTCATCTGAACAGTGAGATGGCTCACCAGGTAAAAGTACCTGCCACCAAGCCAGATGACCCAAGTTTGATCCCTGGGACCCATGTGCTAGGGAAAACTAATTCCTGCAAGTTAACCTCTTATCTCCACACAAATGCCACAGCACCCCCCAAATAAATAAAATTATAATGAATGTATATTTAAAAAGAAAAGGTATGTTTTGTCACCACACAGAAAAATGAACATATTTAGTTAAGAAAGGACACTAAACTGTATAGAATTAATCCCAATTTAAAAATTTCAAACTATGATTATACACACAGGAAAAACTATTTTAAAACCAGTTCAAATTCTCTATATCTGGATTAAAGGATTAGAGATGCTTTTATTCCCTCCTCTAAAGTTTTATTTGCCAAAGTTTCAACAATAAAAATACTTCATATTTAAAAATTTTAAATGTGATTTAAAAAATGGGTATTAGTCCATAGTAATAGCCAATCCATTTCCCAGTACACATTCTGGAGCACAATAGAAATTATAATAAAAAAAGTAGCACATATAACACTAAAAATCCGTACATCCTACAGAGCTTCCCCAGAAGAAAGTTTGATATTAAAAGATGGACAATTTTTCTACTTACCTTCTCCAACCATTGTCACACCTATTGACATGCCTAAGAATTTGCTTTTAGTCCAGACATGCGCATTTACACACATCTTCCTCTCTGCACATTCTGCATAAAATCCTGAGACTGGAGGATGATGGGAAACCTGCTCAGCAACAAATCTGACCGTGTAACAGTCTGATCCCACCTGGGTCGCAGCCTCCTCTGACAGAGGAGCATGATTTGTGATTGCTGAGGTGGAAGCACTGCCACCAGCACAGGATGCTATGACACTTTTTGGCATCCTCCAGGAGCAGTGAAATGTCTCCCCAATGATAGGATTGTATGGTTTCTTAGCGATGGCTCCCTTGCGGCCTTCGTGAAATGAGGTAAGGTAGTACTCAACAAAGCGGATCATTCTGTCCTCAGGTGTGGTTCCATTAGTGATGGCTAGAAACAGGTCTGGATGAGACATAAAATCTGCATACATCTCCAATAAGGAGCGCTTCTCCAGGATAAATGTGGGCAGCACCACCTAAAATAACAGCAAAAATCACTAAGAAGGGAAATTTAATCCATGTATGAATCTGCAAGCAATTTTCTTATCACCCTGAAAGCACTTCATTCTAGGCAGATATTGCAAACAAAAACATAAAAAAGAACTTGGGTCTTATTAAAAAACAAGCATGTTTAAAAGGAAATGAGAGTCTGCCTGGGTGCTTAAGATTAAACACAAATTCAGGACATAGAGAAAAAAAAGAATTATTTTTAAAAATTAGGTTGGGTATGGTGGCTTATATCTCTAACTTTCAGCACTTTGGCAGCTGAAAGCCTGGGATACATAGCTCCAGGACAGCCTGAACTACAGGGAGGGACCCTGTCTAAATACCTCTATGCAAAATTCGCAAACTTCTAGATCAGATAAATTATATTAAAACCCAAAGTAAATATGAGACAAGCCCAAGGAGCCCAGAAGAAGGTGTTGGAGCCCTTGGACCTGGAGTTAGATATAGTTGTAAGCCACCTGACATGGATACTGGGAACTGATCTCAGGTCCTCTGCAATAGTACCCACTCCAAACTGCTAAGCCATCTCTTCAGGCCCCCGCCCCTTGACGTCTCCTTTTCTACCTTAAAAATAAATTGTAGGAAGCTGAACATGGTAACACATGCCTGTAATCCCAGGGCCTGGGAGGGTGAAGCAGGGTTCCCTCAAATCTGAGGCTATATGAAACCTTGTCAAGACAGGAAGGAAGGGAGGGAGGAAGGGAGGGAGGGATCAAAGCAAAAATTATAATCTTAAGTTAATTTTTAGCACAAAAGAACCATATTAGAGAACTTCTGACACCTAAAGCCAGGTAGATTGAATATTTTACTTAAAGCAGAAAGACACTACAAAATGGTAAGTCTTTGAGAAAGGAATTGGTACTATTTTCCAGAGCCTTAAAAACTTGAAAACATACTCTTCCAGACTTTTCCTATGCATATGTTAAAATGGATAACCACTGTTTCTTAAGGAAGTAAGGCTTCTTATTGTTCTGTGCTCCGTGCTCAGGCGCTTTCCTTTGTGATTACATGGATCACAATTATTTTTCCTTTCTGGATATTTAAGCCAGCATCAGGATTTTTGCCTTCCATCAAGATTCAAGTTGAATAAGGATGAATGTAAAATTCCATGCTTGGTTCTTTCACTCCAGCTCCATGGACAAAGAAATATGACTTCCCAACAGCACAAGAGATGATCTCACTGCCCTGCTAGAGCATGTGACATATGTGGTCTCCTGTGCCAGAGGGTGTATTTCACAAGAAACTTCGCCCAGTTGAAGCAACAGGATGGCACTGCATTTCTGTAGGGTGGTGAAAGGCTGTGCAGTCTCACAGCCTCTAGCTCCGGTGTCCATAGAGGGCTCCCTTCCCCTGTCCCTGTGTCTGTACTGCTCCGTCAGCATGCTCTGCCAGTACCAGTCCCAGTCTGCCAGCTGACTCTCCCAGTACCTGTGGAGTCCCATCCCACCAAGGCTGTAGTGTCTACTGGGCCTGGACTGGACTGAAAGGGGCATCTGTGGGTTGTTAGAACTTTGCTATGGTAAGATCACAGGAAGTCTGGCTCCACGCAGGCCTCAGGAGGCATCCTGGGAAACAGTTATTAGATTCTTGCCTTAGTGAATTCATCCTCTCTAGGGTCCTCTCCTTCCCTCATCTCCCTCATGGTAGCTTTGATTCTATCCTTTGGCTGTGGACTCTCTCGGAATCAGACAGAGGGGAGAGCAACTTAGGCTGAGAATAGGTCAGAGGAAATTAAGTTACTATTGCTATTCTCAGTAGGAAGTAAATAAAATGACTGAAAGTGGGGGGAGGGTGCTGGAGAGATGCTCCATCCATAAAGTGCTTACTGTGCAAACATGAGTATCTAAAGTTCAATCCTCAGCACCTGTGACAGAAAAGCTAGCTGTGGCAAATTGGTGTGCTCTAGGTTCAGGAAGAGACTTTTCTCAAAAAGGTGGAGTGCGAAAGGAAGACACTAGATGAGATGGATCAACAGGTGAAAGAGCTGCTGCGAAGCCCAGTACCTTAATTCAATCCCCAAGACCCACATGGTAGGAGAGCAGTGAATCCTGTAAGTTGTGTTCTAGCCTACACATGCATGTCGTGGGCAAAGGCGGGGCCCTGGGCTATCTTCTTCCTTGCTGTCACAATACTCAGCAATGTCCGGACTACAATAAAGGCTCAGTAAACATTTGTAAAATCGTATTGGTGTGATTTTAGGTAGGAGGTAGTTGCCATGAAAGTTTAGTCACAGGTTTCTTACTATTTCTTGAAAAGTACCATTCCTTTAACATGTTGAATGGTCATAATTGTTGCCTGATAAATAATAGCATACTAATTTTTCACTAAGAAAGACCAAATGAGGGTAAAGTACATAATATAGTCATCATGACAAAAGAGAGCTTCATCATCTGGGTTACTAGAATGTCTTTTTTTTCTTTTCTTTTTTTTTGTCTTTTTGAGACAGGGTTTCCTTGTAGGCCCAGCTGACCTGAACTCACTATGTAGACCAGGCTGGCCTAGAACTCACAGATATCCGCCACCTCTTCCTCCCAAGTGCTGGGACTAAAGACATACGTCACCACACCTGGCTACTAGAATTTTTTTTTTTAACATTTTATTTATTATTTTTATTTCATGTGTATGTGTATTGCCTGCATGTATGTGAGTGCGCCCATGTCGTGCAATGCCGCAGAGGTCAGAGGAGGGCTTCGGATTCCCCTGGAACTGGAGTTAAAGACGGTTCGTAGCCACCACGTGGGTGCTGGGAATCGAACTCAGGTCCTTCTGCAAGAGCAGTCAGTGCTCTTAAGCACTGAGCCATCTCTCCAGCCCCTAGAATATTTTTATCAGGTGTTCTTATGCCCTATAAGTCTCAGCACTATTTTCATGCCTTCTAAACCTAAATCTAGTAAAGGGCAGAAAACACCATACTAACGAAAGCCAGATAACCCCTCATCTGTTTATTTCAACCAACGTCACAGCTAATAAAACAGCTTTCCCAAATTACTAATAGGAAAATACTTCTTGAACAGAATGACACCCAATTAAATCTGAAGTTATTAAGTTCTTTAATTCCTAAATGTCTGCTCCTTAGTAGACTTTTAACACAACCCATTCACTTAGTCTCCTATCAAGGACAGGCAAGATGAGTCAGCAGATAGAGATACTTACTATGCAAGCCTGAGTTCTATCCCTGGAACCCACACTGGAAGGAGACAAGCAACTCACATCTATATACATACACACAGTTAAAAACAAAGCCTCTTATCAAACACAGTAAGTCTTTTTTTTAATTTTATGTGTATGAATGTATTGCTTGCATGTATGTAAGTGCACCTGTGTGACCACAAAGGTCAGAAGAAGGTATTAGATCCCCTGGAACTGGAGTTACGGACAGTTGTTAGCAACCATGAGGGTACTGGGAACAAAACCAAGGTTCTCTGCAAGAGCAGCCAGTGCTCTTAACCACTGAGCCATCTCTCCAGCCCCAAACACAGTAAGTCGTAAAATTTTTATTTTAAGTTTTTGATTTTTAAGTGATTTAAAGTATATTATTCTAAAGGAAAAATGATTTTTAAGTTGCAGTTACAGGTAAACAATAATCTTCATCTACACATTCACCCTCAATTAGAAACAACCCCCAAAGTCAATCTTGTTTGTTTTAGAATCCTATATAGCCTAAGCTGGCCTTGAACTCGAGTTCCTTCCTCTTTAGGGCAGGAATTACAGTGTGTACCACCATGCTGGGTTCTGAAGTCAATTTTGATGCTCCATGTTAATTCAAAGTCATATCTTTATCACATAAAGAATGAAACACACTGACAGCTCAGGCGTCTTCCTGACCTAATGATCTTCAGTTTGCCCTGTTACTTACTCTTGTTAGATCCATGCCCAGCTTAAGCTGTGACAAAAGGTGCAAGATAACACTGCGTTGCTCCTCCACAGCTCCCAGGTCATCCTCCTTGTTGTCACACATATCCTCTATCTCATCATCTGGGTTTATTTCTTCAGGTTCCTGGATGCAAAACAAAGCAGAAGTCAAGTGCTACAAGTACTCAGTAACATCTCTAAGAAAAACCGTTCAGATTTGAGATATTTATACCATCAACGCAACCCACTGATGGGCAAACGTCCTTCAGAAAATACCATTTCCATCACTCAGCCAACAATTAAACCTCCTCCAGAGTCCATTACTGATGGTATTGAACATCCTGTGGTCTTGAGATACACAGCACATACACTTTTTTTTTAAAGAGTTTTATTATGTAACCTTGGCTAACCTGGTACTATCATTATGTAACCAAGGCTGGCCTCAGACTTCTGTCAATTCTCCTGCCTTAGCCCCTTGAGTGCTAAGAGTCTAGATAAAATGGATTTACTTTGCAGAAACAGAATTTTTCAAAAGGAGCAAAGAATGTCCCATATAACTTTAGCTTTGACCCCTGCCTGGGGATCACCACCAATCCTACAATTTCAAGTGATTGTTTGTTTTGAGACAAAGTCTCTCATTACATAGCTCCAACTGGCCTTTAACTCAGTGATCCTCTTACCTCAGTCTCCCAAGTCTTAGAATTATAACCATGAGCCACAAAACATGGCTAAATTCAAGAGTTTTAAGAAATAAATATTTGTCCTTATTTAAGCCAAACACCATATAATAAATTTCCAAAGTGAATGCATGCACATGTCAAGTCTAACTACTACAAACCGTATTTTTTACTGACTATGCCTGAGACAGTCAGGAAGAAGCTCTGGGAATGAAGAGAAAGATTCTAGATACACGTAAATATTCTATCCACTCATGCAGTCACAACAGCACCACAAGGGCTCTGTAAGGGAATTCAATCAACAAAACCCCTGGAAAACTGAAAATGTGCATTTTCATCACACTAGTCACCTAGCTCCTATATCAACTGGCTAAAAGAAACAACTGCATATTTATTATTTTACTTTTTAAGTTCTGTTTTAGATTGGGAGGGCACCTCACTATAGCTAAGGCTACCCTTAAACTCCCAGTAATTGTTTGTTTTGAAACAGGGTCCTGGGGCTGGAGAGATGGGTCAGTTGTTAAGAGTACCAGCTGTTCTTGCAGAGGATCTGGGTTCAAGTCCCAGCACCCACATGGCAGCTAACAACTGTCCATAACTTCAGTTCCAGGGGAATCTGATGCCATCTTCTGACTTCCGCAGGCATTACACAACACAGGTGCACTTACATACATGCCCCTTGTTTGATTTCTTTGAGCCAGGGTCTCACTCTGTATGTAGCCCAGTCTGACCCAGGACTCATTATGTAGCCCAGGCTGCACTAGTAATCCTCCTGCCTCACCCTCCAGAGTGCTGGGATTACAGGCAGGAGCTAATACGCCATCCCAGTTTATTGGGCTTTATTTTTATTTGAACAACAAATATACCAAGATTCTATAGAATTATATCAGCTGTAACCATGTCCCATCTCTCAGTAGAACAGCTTCTAAACATCTTTCTTCAAGAGAGTTATATATAAAGATGCTATCTGCACATGGTTCATTGGATTTTAAGTTTTGAAGATGGGGAGTAGTATTTTTGAGGCAAATCTGGGGCTAGAGAGATGGCTCAGTGGTTAAGAGCACTGGTTGCTCTTTCAGAGGACCAGAATTCAATTCCCAGCACCCACATGACAGCTAACAACTGTCTATAACTTCAGTTCCAGGGGATCCAACATCCCCTTCTGGCCTCTGCAGCACTGCATGCACATGATCCACTTCCATACATGCAAAACACTTATACATAAAATTTAAAAATAAACAAAAAATTAGTCAAATCACTTATTGGAATAGAAAAGAAATTATATTAACAGTTAAATTCTGATTCTAAACATAAGGTGAACTAAAGAATTTAGAAGTGCTGCCTTTTTTGCTTGTTTGTCTTTCATATAGCCCAGGATGGCCTTGGAATTGGGATGTGGCTGGAGTAGGCTTTAAACCCCTGTTCTTCCTGCCTTGATCTGAGGGCAAGAATTAAGTGTGTGCCACCACACCTGCCTAGAAGTCCTCCTTATTAGTCATCATGATTTTCTTAAAAAGCTTAAGCTACCTAGGCATGGTGGCACATGCCTTTAATCCCAGCACTTGGTAGGCAGAGCCAGGTGGATCTCTGTGAGTTCAAGGCCAGCCTGGTCTACATAATGAGTTCCAGGCCAGCTACAGCTACAGAGAGAGCCTGTCTTAAAAAGACAAAAAAAAAAGCTTAAGCTAAAAATGCATTACTAAAATTCAGAAAACATGTTCAGATGTATGAAATCGCTACAAACTTGGGTAACCAGCAGATAAAGTGGCAGGAGCTAATGAATTTCTAGGAATTTATGCTATTTGGAGATTCTATGGGAAAGCGATATTGCAATATTCTACAAAATTCATGCTAAACCTTTTTTTTGTCTTGACTTGAGCCTTGGGGGCAGGAAGGAACTATGGGCTTAATTTTTTTACCATTATTTGTGCGTGTGTATGTTTATATCTGTGTGGGTACACACATGCCATGGCACATATATGTGCAAGTCAGAGGACAACTAATGGGAGTGGGTTCTCTCCTTCCACCAGCTGGGGTCTGGGATGGAACTCAGGTCACTGGGTACAACAAGTGCCATTACCTGCTAAGCCATCGCACAGGCCCAGGATCTTCGAGTTTGACTGAGGTTTACTTTCTCCCTCACCTGACATCAAAATGTTCACTACCGTCCCACTGACCTCTAGTCTGTACAGTACTTATGTTTCAGAGAACGCATCTGTGAAACGTTTGGACAATAAAGGTCCATGCCGGTACGTTTTGGAAAAAAAATGCGTGTGTCTGTGTGTCTGTGTATACGCGCACGTGTGCGTGTTCCACCTACACTGGGTGGTCACCATCTGAAAGATCTGGAAATACAGCGGTCTCCTCCTCCTTGATCCTGTGCCCCATCTCTTACATAAGTCTCTATTTTGCCTTCTACATGTTTGTGTTCTCATTTAGAATAATGAAAATGCTGACCTCCAGTTCACTGCTTTTCACTTAAAATTTCATCTCCAATCCTGATCTCTCTTCAAAGCTACGGCTCCACCACCTTAAGTACTCTTTAGAAACATTTATTATCACATATTTCTCTCTCTTGTAAAATTCAACAAGTTCATAATGACACAAACTTTGCTCAAAAGAGTCTTCCTAATTTTCCTGCCTTCTGAATGGCAACATAATTTTGTCATTTAGGCTCAAAAGTTGGAACCACCTTTGACTCAACCTATATCCAGTCAGCCACAGTCCAACTGATTTTTCATTTGAAATACACATTGCTGATTTGTCTTCATTTCTACTTCCACAGCATCTATCACACTTTAATTCCAAGGCATACTGTGATGGCTAATACTGGGTGTCAACTTGACTGGATCTGGAATTAACTGAAATGCTCTGCCTTCTCTCTCACTGGTGAGTTTGTCTTGCTGCTGTAGACTGAAGACTAGCTGATCTTTTGGACCTTCAGTGCCAGATTGGGACTACTGAGACATCCAGCCTCGTGGACTGAGTGACTACGGATTCTCAGCCTCTCCAGTGTGGTGCAGCCATTGTTGGACTACTCGGACTCTATCCTGTGAGCTAAGCTGATATATATATATATATATTTTCATTCTACCAGTTCTGTTTCTTTGGAGAACCCTAACTAATACACATACCATTTACTAATCTTAAACATGTCACACCCTGCCCCATGCACATGACCCTACTGTCTCTCACATTGGGACTAAATTCTTCTGACTTTCATGCTCTTTGGGGACCCAGGTTGCCATCATATTGCATGGAGCAGTGCTGGAGGGAGTATCAGTCCACACTGAGTACATGACTACAATATCCAACAACCCTGTCATCACTTCCCATAAGCTAGATGTTCTGCTAAATTAACTTTATCCTCATCACAGTTCACAAGGTATTATTATCACTGCTTTACAGATGTGGAAACTGAAGCTAACAGCAGTTACTTGGCTCACGTTATTAACGGCAGATTCTGAGTTCAAAACCATCAGGCGATAAACACACATGCTCCTACAGTACCCTGGCCTTTGTTTTTCTTCCATTTTGACATCTCCTATTCTGCTGACTCTTCAAATCCTGCCTCCCTTCAAAGTCAATTTTAAACACTTTGTATCTAAAGTATCCTTCAAGTGTTTCAGTCAATTGTTTCTCTGCTAAATCCTATCAATTAAGAAAAAAATATTCTTCATATTATCATCTCCTTTCAAGGTACAATTATGACTTCAAACAGGCTATGTCTCTTCAGTCGAAGAACTACATCTGTTTTTTGTTTGTTTCTCCTTTAATTCCTAGTTTAATAAATACTTGTTAACTATTTGACTCTACAAACATATGCATTTGAATTTTTTAATCTGCTTTCCTTGACTGCCCTGATTTTTCAGCTTCCTGTCTCCAAAGCCTCCTCAGTAAGTCAAACCCAAGTTCTAGTGTCCTATCTTTTAAGAAATAACTTGGTAGTATATAAATAACCATAAACTGTACACTGTTCTTAATTTGATAGTTTTATCTGGGACACAACCAAAGAAATAATCTAAAACAAGTGAGAAAAATAACAGCAAACAATACAGTGTTCTTTCTAATAATAAAGAATAACAAACTAGATATTCAACAACAGGGACATTAACTCATTTCAACTTTTAAATATTCATTATATAGGCTAGAACGCAACATAGAAAGCAGCTTTAATAATCTATGCAATTATGGTGGCCATAAAAATAGCAAACATGAACAGAAAAGGCAAAAACAAAGCAAAACAAAACAAAAAACTGTAATTTGTAGCAATGGCAAATTTATGAACAAAATAAAATACTCTAGCTTCTGAAAATATGCAGTGAATAGCACTTCATGTAAATATTAAATGCTATCTTGAGCGATATCTCGAACAACTGTATTGGTAAAGTGCTTGCTATCTAAAAGCTGACTATTACAACAAACTTTATAAATGTAATAGTAACACCTAGTAAACAGTTTTAAATTAACGTAACACAGTAGGAAGCTGGGTGTGGTGACCCATGACTATGCACCTGGGAGGTTGAGGCAGGAGGATAGGGCTACAAGGCCAGCTAGGGATACATACTGAGTTCCAGGACAGGCAGGGATACAGAGTGAGACCCTGTCCCAAAAAACAAACATACATCCTTATCAAACAAAAGTAAACCATAACTAAAAAAGGCACATTATTTAACCTGGAAATAATAACATGTTCAAGTTCAATTAAGACCTCTTCCAAAGCAAATCAATTTAAAATAGAATATTTAGAATCTGCAAGAATGTTACTCTACTGTTTTGTTGACTTAAATGCCTTAATAAAAACAAGACTGACCCTTTCCAATGATTTCTAATCTCTTACATCAAACCATATTTTCATATTAGCTTACCCTTGCTAACAGTCCAGATTCTTCCATAGACTGCTCTTCTGGGACTGCCATGGGCTTACTTGGCTCAGCTGCAAAGGGCTGCTCGGCTCCATTTTTATAGTGGTTTGATAAAGGTATCTTTGGTTCCAACCACTCAATTGTCGTTCCTGATGAAGTAAGAGAAAACTTTCGCTGAAACTTGCTCATCTGGAGAGTTCAGCATATGTAGATTTGATTAAACAATTTTGTCTTGAGCCTACAAGACTAAAAGCAATCCAACCTGTATCTGAAAGACAGTTACGTGTATCTCATTAGCATGAGCACCATGATTGGATATTTTACAACACTACAACTTGCAACTTGAAATAAGACACTATTTAAAAGAAATCAACACTGAATAGAACTGATCTCACGTCTTAGCCATAGCTGTGAATCATGAAGTGAACTCTCAAGCAGTGGATCTGCTATCTGTTCTCTATCAATTATGTCCCTCAAATAATTAAAACATACAGAATTGGCCGGGGGAGGGGGGAATGTCACACTTCAACAGGAGCCTGGGACTGTGAAATGTAAAATTTGTTTCAATATGAAATGTAATTTTCCTAACCAAACAAAATAGCCCACTAGATCTAATTTAAATTTTATACATACAAGTCCTTCTTTATTTAAATCATGAAAGGCCCAATGCAGGTTTTAAACTGAAAAACATTTCTACTGAATAAATAGAGCCGACTTGGTAAGAGACAGTAGTCATCTACTGTCATCTTCTCAGTTAATGACTCAATGGTCTCTTGTTACCTTCAACTAGCTTAATGTGGATCTCTGCCTAATCAATAATGGAAACTGTTCCATTTGATTTCAAAGGTTGATCTAGGTTTCACAGAAGCCAGGTTATGGAGTGCTATAAGAAGGGATGCTCAGACTACCACAGTAGCAATCTATGAAGAAGAAATTCACTAAGTCAAGCCCCAGACTTCAAAAGAGGAATAAATTACAAATTATCCCCCAGGCTAACAGAATATCTTGCCTTATTCAATCCCACTTGGCACCAGGGGGATTCAATATTGGAGGAACATCCTGGTTAAGTTCAAGGACCTGTTTTAAAGTTCAAAAAAAGAAGCATGCTGCCTCTACCTTAAAATATTTATTTTTAATATCGATATTCAGATTTCTTCACTTTTAAAAATAAAATATACATGAACATTAATTAAAAGACCCATTTCAGGAGACCTAGTCAGCTGACTGGAAACTGGAACAAAATTTTATCAAACCCACATCTGGCCTCAGGGTCCCTCCAAATCAATAAATACAACTGGGTATCTAGATAACAATATATTAAGTCCTTATGGTCCAGGCATGGTAATACACACCTGTCATCCTAGCACTTAGGTACCTGGGGCAGAAAGAGCTTGAGGCCAACCTGGGTTACATAGTAAGTTTAAGGTCAACCTAGGCTAAATAATACCTTGTCCACGAATGAATGAATGAATGAATGAATGAATGAATGAACGAACGAACGAGTGAAACAGGAAAACTTTATGGGGTTAAACAGTCCTCTGAACTCAGATTTCATTTTTGTCACTGCAAAATTTGAGTAGAAAGATAATTTTTTTCATTATATTTTCATTCTCAAATGATTTAAAAATCAACTCTACAAGCCCCATCTGGAAAAGATGGCAATTGTGGCGAGAACTAGCAATGCCAATTAGGTAATTTGTTGAAATACTCATAAACCTGTGTTCCAAAAAGTGCTGTATGAGAACAACTTTCATTTTAAAACTTCCTAAGTAATTAAACTTATATGTACTTTGGGTTTTTTTAAGTTTATCTTAAGTTTATTTTATTTTTTAATTATGTGCATGTGTTTGTGTCCGTGTGTAGGTATGTGTACATGAGTACAACCACCCTCAGAATCCAGAAGTGGGCACTGGATCCCCTGAAGCTGGAGTCACAGGTGACTGTGAGTGCACAACACAGGTGCTGGGGGATCTGAACTCAGGTCCTCCGAAAGAGCAGAACATACTCTTAACCACTGAGCCATCCCTCTAGCCCACGTTTCCTTAATCATGAAAGAAACATCAAAAATAAGACTGTATTCATTTAAACCACATAATTTTTGCAATTTTTAAAATGGCATAGTATTCAATCAAGTAACGAGCACCTGTGCTACCTAATTTCTTTTTATATGTGTATGAGTGTTTTGCCTGCATATATGTAGTTACACCACACACATGCCTGGTGCCTACAAAGGCCAAAAGAAGATGTCAGATCTCCTGGAGCTACAATTGCAGCTGCAGGTGATTGTTAACCACCGCATGTATGCTGGGAATTGAACCCAGCTCCTCTTCAAGAACAGCAAGTGCTTTTAACCACTGAGTCATCTCTCTAGGTCCAAATCAATGTACTTGTAAAAATTTAAGTAAACAGAGATGATAGATAAACTGTTTCATTTTCCTGACAAAATCATTAACTAAAATGAATCCAAATTTCTTAAATCAGGTAACTCATCTACTGTTCAACAAAGGTAACTTTACTTATGTAAACCGAAGTACTTCTGTTATCTAAGGAATATAATACAAGCAATAAAAATTCTATTTATCAGGGCTGAAGAGATGGCTCATAGGTTGAGAGCACTGGCTACTCTTGCAGAAGACCTGGGTTCATTTCCAGCATCTACATGGAGGCTAACAACCATTTCCAGGGGAATCCGACGCCTTCTTCTGACCTCCAAGGGCACTGCATGCCACAGGTGCACTTACATACATGCAGACAATAAATACACTCATACATATAAAATAAAATATAAATACTTTTTTTTTTTTGGTCTTTTTGAGACAGGTTCTCCCTGTAGCCCCAGCTGTCCTGGGACTCACTATGTAGACCAGGCTGGCCTTGAACTCACAGAGATCCACCTGCCTCTGCCTCCCGAGTGCTGGGATTAAAAGTGTGCACCACCACGCCCGGCCCCACATTTTTTTAAAAAAAGAAAAAAAATTCTATTTATCAAAAGCACAAAACTTGGAAAATATTCCTGTTAGTGAAAAACACACAAAATAAATACACACATAACTCAATATAATGTAAAGAAATATATAAAACTAAAATGATGAACAGTGAACGGAACTGAAAGTCAAGAACTAATCACCGTGATTCTACTCTGGTTAACTGAATAAGAAACAGGAATGCCACTACTTTTAGCTGAAAAAGAGGAGCTGTAGATTTTTAGTTTAGCTTTTGACATGTTGAGTACAAGGTCTCTAAAGGCATATTCAATGATATCAGAACTGAAATCATTCTAAATTTTAAAAGGACACAATAAGAATTTGCATAGTATTACTGTGATAATTAAAAACCAAGAGGCTCATTGATTCCCTCTCTTCCCTCCCTCCCTTCCTTTTTTAAAAGATTTTTCCAGAATTAGAACAACAAATACAGTCTTTCCTTCCATGTTTTGGTCAATGTTAAATCCTACCTTTCATCAATGACTTACCTGAAGGCAATGCGCCCTTCTGGTGTGAGGCATGTTGTAACTGGAGAATATGAAAGCAGTCATTCAAGCAGGTCATGGTGGCCAAGGAAGTAGCTTTGAGCATTAAGAGATCCTGGTCCAAGGAATTAAGAAGGCCGGAAGTAGGGAGGCATTCAATTCGTCTAATTAAGTCTCTTTGTTGTCCCTCAGCATGAGACATCATCTAAGGAAAACAACGGTTCTTCTGCATAACACATAAATATTCACTTGTCATTTTAATAATAATAGTCACCTTTTGAGCCACTTTCAGGACATATTAGACTTAGAAATCTATTTGAAGTTTGCTGGGCTATCTTCAATTAATGAAGATAAATTAATGAATTTAATGGTGCTTTTCAACTGAACAAAAAGAGTGTGACTTTTGCTAGTTGCACTTTTTCTTTGGAACCAATAAAGCACAAACGCCACTTTTTGTTAACAGTATAAATTTATCCAAGTCGTCAGAAAAAACATTTCAGAACACCTTCAACAGCAGTATCAAATTTTTCATTCCACAATAAAATTAATTTCCAGTCAGGGCTCTTGATCACTCTCCCCTCACACCAGTCAAGCCTGATTCCAAGTTACTTTGAGAACATGATGATTTACCTGCCTCCTCCCTAACCTAACTTTCTGCTTAGGATGTTTGGGTATATTTTGTTGTTTCAAATAAAAATATTTTAATTAATACATTCTTTTGAAAGAAACGTCCAGTTGAAAACAATTTATGATACTGTTTTCTTGTAGCTACTTTCAAGTATAAGCAGAAGGTTCTCAGAACTGCCTGTCCTTTAGAAACTACCTTATTTCACACAGCAACCTGTAAGGGACAGACTCTTAGCATTTAGAGGCTTTGTTCCAGGTGGGTGGGTGTGTGGGTGTGTATACGAAGGTATGGCACCCACTTGGAGGCCAGAGGTTAGTGTCAGGTGTCCTACTCTACTGCTCCCTCTTCACCTTACTCCCTGGAGACTGGGCCTCTCACAGAACCTGGAGTTCCCCATTTTTTTGTTTTTTAGCTCAGATGCTGGCCAGCAAGCTCCAGAGATCCTCCTGTCTCTGCCCCCAGTGTTAGGGTTGGAAACACAAACTTAATAGCTTTTTATGTGAGTGCTGGGTGATCAGAGCTCAGGACCCCATGCTTGCATAAGAAGTACTTTTTACTGACTAAGCCATTTCTAAAACAACTCTATGAATTTTAATAGTTTATCAGAGGGTTGGTGAAAGAAAGGTACAAAATGGTCCTAGTAAGCAAATCAAGTATGTCATACGTGAAACAGTTCCTGAAAATCTACGTCATAGTCAGTCTCAAACAAATTTAACTCAGGGCATCAGGCTTTGTGGCACCTTTACTCACTGACAGCCCAATAAAGAAAATCTTAAAGGAAAAAATGGTTCTGGAACCACTTTATGGGGAAGGCAAAAAAATGCTACCAACAAAACAGGACTGTTTCTGCAGGAATAGAACTATTCCATCTGAACATGAAAATGTTCCTAATATAATCATAATCATAACCTTAAAGTTTAACCTGGGTTGTGGGTTTAACTTCTGTTGTTGTAGGTTTTGGGGGGTGTTGCTTTTTTGGGTTTTGTTTTTCTGAGGCAGTCTATCTCTATATATAGATGAGGCTAGCCAAAACTCACAGTCCTCTTGCCTTGAGTCTCCCAAGGGATTACACACATGCACCACTACCACCAACCTGCTGGGTTCTTAATTGGAAGGGGAAAAAAGTACCACCATGGTAAAGACAGACACCAAACAAACTTCTTTTTTATGTGTGGAAGTGGGGGGTGGCAACACCATGGGGACTGCTAAACAATGATCTCTAAATCCCAGAATAATCACTAGCTGCAATTCAAGAGAAACTGCCATTAAACTAGTCAACTAGTAATTTAGTACCTTCTTCTGAAAGAAGTAGTTATGAAACTTTGGCAACACCCCACACAGAAGGGCCAGAGATAGGTGGTAAATATTCATATGCTATCATAATGCTATGAAATAGCATTATGAAATATGAAATACCCCATTAAAAAAGCAATATGAAATACACCCTGTATATTTTTAATTGTCGAGACTGCAAGATGGCTAAGTACCACTCTGATTCTATCCCTTTCTATCTTAGCCACTTTTCTTCCACTTGAGATTAAGAGAGAAGCACTTAGATTTTCTTTTTCTTTCTCTGTCTCTCTCTCTCTCTCTCTCTCTCTCTCTCTCTCTCTCCCCCCCTCCCCCCAAATGTCCCCCCCCCTGTCCCTTTTTTTTTTTTTTTTTTTTTTTGTCTTTTTGAAGCAGGGTCTCCCTGTAGCCCCAGCTGTCCTGGAACTCACTATGTAAACCAGGCTGGCCTCGAACTCACAGAGATCCGCCTGCGTCTGCCTCCCAAGTACTGGGACTAAAAGCGTGCACCACCATACCTGGCTTTCCTTCTTTTTTAAGACAGGGTATTATGGGGGCATGAGATATCTCAGTGATTAGGAGCACTGGCTGCTCTTGCAGAAGAGTCAGGTTCAAGTCCCAGCACCCACATAGCATAACAACCATCCATAATTCCAGTTCCAGGGATCCAACACCCTCTTCTGGCATCTGCAGGCACTGCATAACATGGGTACACTTACATACGTGCAGGCTTAACACTCATATACATAAAATAAAAATAAATAATTGTTTTTAAAAAGACAGGGTGCTACGAACACTGAGATGTTGGCGCATGCATCTCTAATCTGTATTTGATTATTACTAGTCATAATCGGTTGCACTTGGATCCTTGGTGCCTATGTATGTCTGTAAAGTCATTGGGTAGATTTCAATGGTAATGTTTATCACGTCTATTAATTAACATGACATAAATTTCCATGCTTCCTACTCAAATATAATACGTTTTTTAAAATTTGTTGATTTTTTTTTGTGTATGTGCTTGTGTATATCACACAGAACATCCCAAACCATCTTAATCAACTATAAACCCACATCCCAGAAGGCACCCTCCCATAGCCTCCCTCCCCCCACTAGAGACCTTATACTCTGATATCCCTGCTACTGTCTGCTGTGTTGTCAGCACCCCCAGCCATTCCCCACTACTTGCCCTTCTAGTGAATCTAGTCAGCCTATCTAGAGGTCTCTGTTTGAGGAAGGTCTAACTCAACTGTGAACCTATAAACTTGCACCCACTTGTGAAAGAGATGTACTCTTGCTCTGGAATGTGTTACTGAATATGTTAAAGCTGTAATGAAATGCTTCTTCTAATCATATAGTTATTAAAAATTTAAAAAAATAAAAAAATAAAAGGTGCTTCCTATTTAAGGGACACCAGATCACACACACACAAAACAAGACAGGGTGTCACACAGCCCAAGCTAACTTCAAACTCACGATGCAGATGAGGCTGGCCTTGAACTCTTTCCTCATCCTACTGCCCTCAACTCTCTCAGGTACTAGGTTTCCAGGTGTGTACTACCAATTCTAGCTCACCTTGGTTTTCCTTTCTTTTTTGTTATTTTTATTTATTTTATGTGTATGAGTGTTTGCCTGCATGTATGTATTGCAGTATGTGAATGCAGGTGCCTTCAGGAGCCAGGAGGGGGCATCAGATGCCCTGGAACTGAAGTTACAGGCAGCTGTGAGTCACCCCATGTGCATGCTAGGAAGTGAAGCCAGGAACTCTGTAAGAGCAGCAAGTGCTCTTAAGTGCTGAGCCATCTCTCTAGTCTTCTAAATTTCTATTTTAAAAAAATCAATTAGTGGGAGCTGGAGAAACAGTTCAGCGATCAAGAGCACAGTCTGCCCTTGCAGAGGACCTGGGTTTGGTTCCCAGCATCCACATGGTGGCTCACAACCATGGTAATAAAGAAATGACTTATGGTACAACTCAAGAATCTGGAAAAGCAAGAACCAAACCCAAACCCAACAGACAAGAATTAAAAAAAAAAAAAAATCAGTAAAATAGAAAACAATAAAAAGAACCAATCGATTTACGAGCCAATTCTTTTTTTTTTTTTTTTTTGGTCTTTCTGAGAAAGGGTTTCCCTGTAGCCCCAGCTGTTCTGGAACTCACTATGTAGACCAGGCTAGCTTCGAACTCACAGAGATCTGCCTGCCTCTGCGTCTGAGTGCTGGGATTAAAGGCGTGCGCCACCACGCCTGGCAAGAGCCAATTCTTTGAAAAGACAACCAAGATAGATAAGAGTCTTGGCTCAGCTAACCAAAAGGAAGGAAGAGCAAATCCAAATCAACAAAATCAGAGACAAAAAGGGAAACATCACAACAAAGACCAAAAAGATCCAGAACGTTTTAAAGGAATATTTTAAAAATCAATACTCTATTAAATTAGAAATTCTAGAAGAAATGGACAAATTTCTAAATTCAATGGACCCACCAAAGATAAATCAAGAGGGACCAACAACTTAAACAGACCTATATATAACAAACAAGGACATCGAAACAGATCATCCCAACTAAAAAAGGCCCAGATCCAGGTGGTTTCATGGCAGAATTTTATCAGACCTTCAAAGAACAGCTACAAGCAATACTCTTAAATTATTCAAAAAGACAAAACAGAGGGAAAACTCCCAAACTCTTTCTATAAAACCAGTATACCTCTAATACCAAAACAAGGTAAAAACACAACAAAAAAAAACTATAGCCTCATACCCCTAATGAACACAGATACAAAAACTCTCAACAAAATACTCCAAAATCGTACATAGACACATATCAAAAAGACTATCCACCAAAATCAAGTTGGCTTAATTCCAGAGATGCAGGGATGGTTCAATATACGTAAGTCAATAAATGTAATACATCATATAAATGGACTTAAAGACAAAAATCACATGCCATACAAATGAGTGTATGTGTATAGCTAAAGGTTGTATAACAAAAAACACAGTGCCAGGCAGGAAGAAACCTCCCTTCAAGTTGTTAGGGTAGTTCAAGAGACTCCCAAAATAACAAACACGGACTACTGCCACAGTCTTTGATTGCTTCCAAGAACTTGAAGGCAAGACCCTATTGTTAAAGATAGGACATACTTTAGACACAGGAATTGGAGCAGTCAAGCTGGAATTGACCTGGAAGCCTCCTCCCTGAAGACTAGCTCCCATAGTTATCAGACAATACTATACAAACTGCCAAGGGAAAATCAGTATTTCCATCCAGCTGTAAAGTAAATGAACCACAACAATAACCAGCCCAGCAAATAATATCTACTGGCATGGTAGTGGCATTTTAATCTTGGGGTAATCAACAGCTGCCTAATTGGAATTAAGGTTCACTCAACAGAAGGGAAATCATGTGTGGTACTATAAACATGATCAAATACAATGGCTGGAGAGGTTACAGACCCTAAAGAAAAACCTACTTTTGTTACATCTCTAAACCAACGTTCTCACCGTATTCTAAATATATATATATATATCCTTATATTTACAGACAAGTGTACCTCTCACCACTCATCAAAGAAGCTTCTTTTTGCAACAAATGGAGACTATTACAAAGTTCTACAACTGGTCAAACACAGAATTCTGGGAGGTGTCCAGCCCTAAGTGACAAATCTACAATGCAACTTCTATACCTAGGGCTCAAGGAACATAACAGAACGGGGGGCGGGGGGGGGGAAGAATATTAGATTACTGCATCTCTCAATTCTCATCAGCGAAGCTTCCTCATGCCGACAGATGGTGATTAACCCAGAAAGCCACAACTGGCCAGAGTGCTGAGAATAAGAGACTGTAAAGTACTTTTCCCTGAATAGGACACCACTATCAAACCTCTGCCACCCAAGGCTCAGGGACCATTGCAGAAGAGAGGGCATAAAGAGTCTAAGAACCAGAGATGGTGGATTATCACAAAGAAATAAAATATTCCAGACAGCGTGGTCATGTGAACTTACAGCAACAGTAACAGCATGCACAAGACCCATGCAAACCCAAGCCAGATGAAATTCCAGCACAGAAGGGGGAAAGTGGGGAAGAATTCCCAACCTTAGCTAAGGAACTATTAGCAAACAATTAACTGCTGGAAGAGGGAGAGTTGGTTTTGTCTAAGGATGTGACACTAGGTAAGCTAACCAGGCTCCAGTGGATGGACACATACTGAAGGACAATTTGGGGACACAAAGTAGGATTGATAGGCCTTAACATGTATGACAGAGTACATGAAATCTGGTAGGGGGGACTGTCAGAGGGACTCAGATAGGGAAGGGGGTCTAAATATAATCAAAATATATTGCATTAAATTTGAAAAAGTGCGATTAAAAATTATTTAAAAAATAAAATAAAAAATCTTAGTGGGGGCTGGAGAGATGGCTCAAGCAGTGAACACTGACTTTTCTTTGTATACCTCAAAGCCTGTTACTGCATTTCTCTAGACTTCAATTTCTTTATCTATAAACATAATACAAAGTACCACTCTCCACAGCATCCTACTTTGACTCATTTAAATGACTTACAGTATTATTTACACCAATATACTTCTTAGCTATGCAGAAGTACTACCAAATTTGACAGCAAGCAATGCCTGAAATATTTATAACCTGACAAACTGCATTATTTATTAACTAGCATTAAAAAATACAAAATCACAAGATAAGGCAGCATCAGAATTTAGTCTATTTTTATGTGCCAGACAGGAGAAACCTTCCATGAGTTGTTGGCCAGGATGTGGTCCAAGAGACCCCCAAAATTACACAAGCTATTGTTACAGGCCTTGATTGCCTCTCAGAACTTGAAGGTAAGACCCTATTGCTGAAGACAGAACATACTTCAGACACAGGACTTGGAGCAACAGAATTGGGACTGACCTGGAAGCCACCTCCCCTGAAGGCTAGCTCTCATAGCTTTGGAGAGCACTATGTAAGCTGCTAAGGTAGAACATCAATCAGTGTTTCAATAACCACAACAATGACCAGCACAGCAAACTGTATTGGGGCAGAAGTGGCCCTTTTATCTTGGTGGTAATCAACAGCTACCTAACTGGACTTAAACCCCACTCAATAGGAGGAAACTCATGTGTGGTACTGTAAATATAGCCAAATACACATGCTGGAGAGGTCACAGATCTTAAAGAAAACCCCAAGGCTGTTGCACATCTTACTATGTGCAAAATATGTATCCTTATATTTACAGACAAGTATCCCAGTCACCACTCATCAAAGAAGCTTCTTTTGCACCAGATGGAGATTATTACAGAGTTCCACAACTGGTCACACACAGAGATTTTTTGTGAATTGCCCAACCCTAAGCGACACATCTATGATGCAACCTCTGCACCTAAAGCTTATCCAACACAGTATAACAAGGGGTAGAGAGAATACTAACACATCTATCAATTCTCATCAGTGAAGATCCCTCATGCAATGGAGGGCCAGGAACACAAAAGGTCACAAATGGCCAAAACACAGAGAATAAGACTCTGCAGAGTGTGGGTCCTTGGACAGACTCTTACATCAGAATCTACCCACCCAGGGCTCAGAGACCATTGCAAAACAGGGGGCTGGAAAGATTGTAAGAGCCAGGGAGGAGGTGTATGACCAAATGGAAATAGTCCTACAGGTTTCTGGCAGCTCACAATCACCTATAACTCCAGTTCACTGGACCGACTCCCTCTTCTCGCTTTTGTGGGCAATGTACCTATGTGGTACCTAAGTGTACAGGGAGGCAAAACACTCATACACATAAAATAAAAAATCAAAGTCATTAATTTTGTTATACAGCCTTTCCAACTAGGTTTAATAGCTTCTTTGACTATTTGGCTTTTGAGACAGGGCCTCACACTATAGCCCAGGCTGGCCTTAACTCCTGGCAATTCTCCTGCCTCAGCATCCCAAGTGTAGCAATTATAAGCATAAGCCACCATGCCCAGCTTAATGCCTCCTCTGATCACAAATTTTACATCAAAGGAGCCTATATTTTCACTTGAAAACTAAAAGATGGGTGCATATTAAAAGAAATTAAAAAAAAAAAAAAACTAAAGATACAGACTTTTTAAAAATGACAGCATCCTAACACACAGCTTTTGAGAGATAAGAAACTTGGGATATTATAGACAATCACACAATCTTATTTTAGTATAGTATATAGAGAACACTAAAGGCCCACAGACACAAATGGGATCCACACACCGTTGTGATGAAACCAGGGAAGACACTATCTTGAGCATCTCACCTGGCTTCAGCTCATACTTACTTCCCTGACCTCTGTAAGATGGTCCGGAGGTACGTGAGTTCTTTTGTTCGCTGACTGCAGTTTAGAATGTCCAACATTAAAAAAAGAAATGGCATTTTGACTTGGTCTCCTCTGGGATATCGGAGAATTACCACTAGACGCAAGCGAGAAGCTTCGTGACTTCAGAGGAGGGTTATTCTGTCAGAAAAAGAAAATTCCTTTTTTGCTTTTTAAAATTTAGGCTCTATATCCATCAAATTACCATACATTTGAGGCTTTATAAATGTATAATTTTAAAAAATTAAATTAACATCAAATTTGACTTAGTAACATTTCTGAAAATAAAATTTAAACTAGTCAAAGTTTAGAAATTAAAATTTCCAGTTTCGTATTCTCAAAAAGATTTTACACATTTTTTAAAGTACATTAGAATAACAAGATTTTTCTAATTTCATATTTTTACACACTGCAAAACAAAATAAATATAATATTCAATATATGTACAATATATAGAATATATCTCCTAAAGAAACATGCAAGTGTCCTTTGCAACAATCTGGTACTTTCTGATCACTGTCATTGACTAAGTTTTTACTGTGGGTAAAGCTATTATATTGGAGTTCCTGAAGACTAGGCTGCAAAACTAAATACAATATTTTATTTACATTGTTTTGAAACAGGGTCTCACTATATAGCCCAGGCTAGCCTCAAGCCCACAATCCTGACTCACCTTCAAAGTGACCATCATGCCTGGACCTAAAACTTAGTGAAGGGCTGGAGAGATGGCTCAGTGGTTAAGGGTGCTGGTTGCTCTTGCAGAGGACCCAAGTTCAAATCCCAGCACCCACATGGCAGCTAAGAGCCATCCATAACTTCAGTTCCATGGGATCTGACGCCTTCTTCTGTCCACCATGGACGATGTATGACACAGATGCACGTATACGTGCAGACATAATACCCATACACATAAAATAAAAATAAACATTTTTTTGAATTAGTGGGAAGTGAGCACAATGGCACATGCCTTTAATCCCAGCACTGGGAGGCAGAAGAAAGCCAGTCCCTGTGAGGCTGAAAAGCCAGTCTGGTCCACATGGCAAGGTCCAGACCATCTGGGGCTACAGGGAGACCCTGACTCAAAAAATAAATAAAAATAAACAAATTAATTAATTAATTAATTAAACATAAAAATAAAAATTAGTTAATGGAAAAAATACCAGGAAGAAAGAAAAACAAAAAAAGGAAAACTCAAGCTATCATTTAGGTATGAAATCTTTTAAATGAGATCCTTTTATATTACTTTTTAGTCATCTCTAGATTTCAAATATTAAGACTTGTCTTCACCTTAAAAATATTAGAAAGCACTCCAAAGAGCCAAGGCATGGTAATGCACATTTGTAATTCCAGCTCTCAGGAGGCTGACGGAGAAGGATCACTTGAATCCAGGAGTTTAAGACAAGCCTGGGCAACACAATGAGACTCTGTCTCAAAAAAGGAAACATACAGGGCTAGAGAGGTGACTCAGTGGTTACAAGCACTGGCTGTTCTTACAGAGGAACTGGGTTCAATTCCCAGCATCCACATGAGGGGTAACCACTGTCGGTAGCTCCAGTTCCTGGGGATCCAACACCTTTTTCTGACCTCTGCAGGCATTGCACGACACAGGTGCACATATATCATGCAGGTAATACACTCATACACATAAAATAATAAATACTTTTTTTATAAAGGAAACACACCACTCCAAAAAAAGATACACAAATTATTGAGCCCACAGATGGCCCAATGGATAAAAGTGCTTACTGAGTAAGCCTGAGAGCCTGCATTTGATCGCTGGAGCCCACACTGGAAGGAGGAACCTTCTCCTAAAAGTTGTCCTCTGGCCTCCACATGCACTGTGACATGTATGCTCCAACGCTCACATAAACATCACACACACATAGACAGTAACAATAATAATAATGAAACACTTTTTAAAGATACACAAATTATCAGTATGTACACGAAAAGGTTAAGCATTTGGGAAATGAAAATCGTAAGAGTCTACCAAAACAACACAGAAAAATCAGGGGTTAAGGAGACAGCTGTCAGTAAGTACTTGCTGAGTAAGCATGAGAACTGAGTTCAGATCCCCAGTATCCACATAGAAAGCTGGGGACTCATAGAAGGGGAGAGGTGGGTCAGAAGCTCCAACCCGAGCTGAGGAACTACTGGCAACTGACAGCTGCTGGATGAAGGAGAGTCAGTTTTCTTTATGGGTGTGACACTGGGTAGGTTGACCAGGCTCCAGGGGATAGGCCAGGACCAAAATTAGACTCGATAGACCTTAAAAAAAAAATAATAATGAGGACATGAAACTGGAAAGGGAAGGTAGTAAGGGGATGCAGATGGGGGGGGGTCCTGAATATGAACAAAATACACTGTACAAAATTATCAAAAATTCAATTTAAATTTTTTTTTAAGCTGGGGATGGTGGTGCATGATGCAGAAACTGGTGCATCCCTGGAGCTCACTGGCCAGTCAGCCTGACTGAATCTGCAGGTTCCAGGTCAAGTGAGAGACCCAGTCTCAAAATAAAAGAAGGCTGAGGCAGAAGGCAAGCTAGGGATGTGGCTAACTGATAAAATGCTTGCCTTGATTTGATCCCCAATATCACAAAAACCTAGCATGTTGATGCATGCCTATAATCCCAGTACTCAGGTGATAGAGGCAGGAGGATCAGAAGTTCAAGGATATCTTCGACTACATAGCAAGGGCAGCAGGAGATATATGAGAACCTATCTCAAAAAGGCTGGAACAGGAGAACTGCCCTGAGTTCAAGTCCCAGCATTGGAAAACTGAGGCAGGTGGGTAGAGAATTCAAGGCCAGCCTAAGCAACACAGCTAGATTCTATCTCAGAGAGGGGGATAAGACGGGGAGCAACACTGCTACATCTAGCAGTGTAGATAAACCTTGAAAACATTGTTAAGTGGAAAAAACAGATACGACAAACCATATTTTATATTTCATGTGAACAGAAAATAGATTTAATGCTTGCCCAGAGACTAAAGAAAATAAAAGTGGGTATTAATGGTTATGGGTTTTTGTAAGGGTTGATGGAAGCATTCTGTAGTTAGACAGCTACCAATGGTTGCACAACCTTTTGACTATTCTAAAACCTGAGATTTTACACTTTAAAAGGGTGACTTTTATGGTATGTGAATAGTATACCTCAATATATTTGGGGGGGGAGGGTTGTTTGGTTTTTGTTGTTTTTGAGACAGGGTCTCTCTGTAGCCCCAGCTGGCCTGAAACCATGTAGACCAAGCTGACCTTTAACTCATAGAGATATGCCTGTCTCTGCCTTCCAAGTATTAGAATTAAAGGCATGTGCTACCAAACCCGGTTTGGGGGAGGGGGTGGTTAAACATTAATTTATTGAATGTGTGTGTCACAGCGCACATCTGGAGGTCAGAGGACAACTTTCAGGAATTGGTTCTCTCCTTCCATCATGTGGGTTCTGGGGAACAAACTTGCAGTCAGGTTTAGCGGCAAAACCATTTACCCACTGAGCCAGTTCGCTGACCCTGGTATCTCAATCTACAAAACACACATTTCCACCATTTCTGTGCATTAATAATGTATACAAATCCACATACCTTCCCAATAGCTTCAGTGTGGTGCTGTGTACATATCTGAAGTCTGCTAACCCAATGCTGTCGTTCCTTAGCATCTGTAGCTGATAACAAATGTGTATGTTATTTACTTCTTTAAAAAATATTTTACTTACCATTTTTATTTTACGTGTATGAGTGTATTGCCTGCATGTATAAGTGCACCTGTGTCATGCAATGCCCACAGAGGTCAGAAGAGGGGTTGGGTTCCTTGGAGCTAGAGTTACGGACGGTTGTTAGCCTCCATGTAGGTGCTGGAAACCGAACCTGGGTTCTTTGCAAGATCAGCCAGTGCTCTTTACTGCTGAGCAATCTCTCCAGCCCCATTATTTACTTTTATATTTATTTTAGGAACACAATCATCCACAGCAAGAAGGCTGGGTGAGTAAAAAGAAAAGACTGGTTCTACTTTCCCTAGATCAAATGTTCCTAACTAGAGGGAGGGCAAGAAAGAGACTGAAGCATTGGGCTTGTTACGTGTGGAAATGGCATGAGGACAGATCACAGGCAGCCAGGTGAAGACATGAGAAAAACAGGTTTTAAGTTCCTCATGGTAGTTTGTCCTTATTTAAAGAACCAACCCTGATTAAAAATCTGAAGTATCATTGATCCTTTCAGATCTTACAAGAATGGCCAATTAGGGTAACCATTACACTTTATATATACTTATTAAATAAAAATCACACATTTCTACACAAATTAAATTTATCTAGACAGAGGTTATACACATGGCAGCACAGGCTTATAATTCCAGTCCTGGAGGCTGGATCTGAAGCCTGCCTGACCTACATAGCTAGACCCTGTCTCAAAAAAAAAAAAAAAAAAACCCAAACAAAAACAAAACTACAGAAGATACATTTTATATTAATGAGTATGGACATTTCAATAAATCCCAAATGTGTACATTAGTTACTAAAAGCTGGGACAAGGACAAGGGGCAAAGAACATTCTTGTGGAAGGCATAAGACTATTATTTAAAGAAGTCAGCACGGCAGCACACACGCCCTTAATCCCAGCACTCAGGAGGCAGAGGCCGGTGGATCTCTGAGTTCAAGGTGAGCTGTTCTATATAGCAAGTTCCACGCCAGATGGGGCTACAAAGAGACCCTGTCTCAAAAAGAAAAACAAAATAAAAAAGAAGTCTGGGGTTTTAGGCTTCTCAGAAATTGGGGTTTTACCTACACAGATTTGTTTTGAGAAGGTCCAATTCTAAATAGACTCCCTTACTGGCAAACTTGAAAAAAGTTATTAAAACAGATTTCATGCAGCTGGACAGATGGTTCAGCAGTTAAGAGTGTGTACTGATCTTATAGAGACCAAAGTTGGTTTCCAGTACCCACATCAGGTGGCTCACAATCACCTGTATCTACAGCTCCAGGGGATCCAATACACACCCCTAATTTTAAAAATATTATAATGAAAATAAACCTTTTAAAAATAGGACTTCATAAATTCTCAGAGCAGCTCTGAGACTTGGAATAGGGTTCCACCAATGACAATAGTGTCTGTTCCCCAAACCCAAACGAAAGCAGGTGAGCACAGCAGCTCAAGGGAAGCAGCAAATGGCAGTGGCAGGTCTCCTGCCCTAATCCTACCTCTGAGTTTATACTGCTCCCCGCTGGCAGCATTCACTGTGAAAGTGTGAGAGTCCTCATCACTGGGTGAGATCACAGCACCTGCAAGCTGCAAAGTACCTCTGGGTTTTTGATTTCTAGACTGTTCATTCACAAAGTACTCCAACAGCCCAGCTTCATTGTTCAAAACGAAAAACCTGTAATGTTAAGAAAGTTGTTATTTTTACATTTGCTCCAGGCAAACTAAAGCAAACTTCAATACTATTAAAACTATTAAAGGAATTTTACTTAAATTTTTTAAAAATTAAAAGCATGACAAAAATACCTTGAAAAACACTCCACTGAATTTTCTAGCGTTACTGGAACACTGAATGAATTTAATAGAAAGTACAAACCCTAGAGCTGAGGCAGAGGCATTTATGTTAATTTTTGTCATCCTGGAGATCAAACATTGGGCCTCACATTCTAGGCAGGCACTCCACCCATAAACTGCTTCTTTAGCCCCAAGAGAGGCACTTTTTAGAGAAGAAATCTAACAGTCAATGCAGGTACAAGTATTCTTTCAGAGGATAAACTGCCAAAGGTGATGGTAGCAAGCACTGTTATATAAAATTCATTAAAAACAAAGTATGAACTCTAGGCTAGTTTAATGCTAAGTAAGAAATGAATAAATATGGGAGCTGGAGAAATGTCTCAGCAGTTAAGAGTGCATATTCCTATTATAGAGGACCTGAGTTTGATTCCTAGCCCCCAGGTTGGGTGGCTTACAACCATATGTAACTACAGCTCCAAGGGATCTTATGCCTTCTTCCAGCCTCCACAGGCACCTATAAACACACGGCATACACACACGCGTACACACCCAGATACACATAAATAACAAATCTTTAAAAGCTCAGCAATCAATATGAGTTGAAAAAAAAAGAAATGAATATGATCTAAGCATTAATCAGTGAAATATTCCATGAGGATACTGTCAGGGGAGAGGGATTCTGTGAGTGCATCATTAAGTAGGTCACAACTGAAGATTACTTGTCCTGTTTAAAAATACAAAGGCTGCAATTAGAGACCAAGAAACATAAGGAACTTGAAACTAAATGATGAAATCCTGATACACCTTGGAAAAGAATTTGATGGAATACTAATGAACTTTGGAAAAGAATTTGATGTTCTGATTTGGTTCCAGATTAACTAATTTAGGACACATTAACCCAGAAGCCAAATTAGGTATTACAACAATTCTTTTCTTTTAAAAAAAAATTACTGCCAGGCGTAGTGGCACACGCTTTTAATCCCAGCACTTGGGAGGCAGAGGCAGGCAGATCTCTGTGAGTTCGAGGCCAGCCTGGTCTATATAGTGAGTTCCAGGACAGCTGGGGCTACAGGGAGACCCTGTCTCAAAAAGAAAAAAAAAAAAAAAATTACTAAAAACTGAATTTCTCAAAAATTCAAGCTTGGGTTTCAAGAGGTCTGATATTCTACATGATTGGGGGCCGTATAATAGAACCTGGTGTTTAGTTTGATCTGGTTCAAGATCCGGGAAGATGCTACAAGCAGTATCAAAATTACCGTATCCAAAGGAGTCAGAGAAAACGGAATCAGGAAGAGGAGCTGATGGAAGAAATAGAAAGTTAGAGTGCCCGAGAAACCAAGCCCTACTGCTTCCTTCCTGTCTTTTAGCAGCTTCTGAGTTCTAAAAATATATTCACATATTGATAAAAATCTAATTTTATTATTTTTGCAGCGCCTTTTTGGTTTTTGCAACAGGGTCACATTTGGTGTATGTGGCACTGGCTTGTGCATGCTAGGCAAGTACTCTACTCATCTGCTCTGCTCCATCAACTACTTTTAGAGTTTTTAAACTCACATTTCATTAATTACTAATGGAGTTAAAGATCTTTCGTGCATTTGAACATCTCTACTTCTACATTATAAACTATCACATTTTTGTTCATTCTTTATTAATAGAGTTGTTTTCCGCTGTTGTTTTTGTTGTTTGATCTTTTGAGACACGGTCTCCCTGTAACCTCAGCTGGCCTGGTACTCACTATGTAGACCAGGCTGGCTTCAATCTCACAGAGATCCACCTGCCTCTGCCTCCAGAGTGCTGGGACTAAAGGAATGCACCACTACACCCATCTTTTTAACAGAGTTTTTTACTTTCCAAAGATTTGAAGGGGTTATTTGAATGAACATTAGTCACTGACATGATCAAGTGTCCTTACCAAATGTCCACACAGATAATCTATTAAAAAAAAAAAACTCATCGAAGGGGGCTAGAGAGATAGCTCAGCAGTTAAGAGCACTGACTGGTCTTGCAGAGGACCCAGGTTCAATCCCCAGCATCCACATGGCAGCTATGAATCGTCCTTAACTCCAGTTCCAGGGGACTCCGAAACCCTCTTCTGACCTCCCCAGCACTGCACGACACAGGTGCACTTACATATATGCAGGCAATACACTCATATGCATAAAATAAAAATAATAATAAATAAAAGATTTTTTTTAAATCATCCAAAGTCGGGTATGGTGGCTCATGCCTATAATCCAGAAGGATTATTACGAGCTCTAGGCCAGCCTGGCTACACAGTAAGAGGACAGTCTGAGCTACAGAGTAAGAGTTCTAAAAATAAGTAACAGCAAGAACAAGAACAAAATACGACAAAATAGAAAAACTTTCATTAAAAAAATAAAGAACAGTCTCCACTGTTCCAAGCAAGAAGTACAACACATTTCAAAGAAGAAAAGGAAAATGACTAGTCTCTTCTCTTAAAAGTAGTCAAAGGCAATTTAGAATATAACAGGGTTTAGGGCCAGTGAGATGCCTCAGTGGGTAAAGGGGTTTGCTGCCAAGCCTGACAACCTGACACACCCATGCACTTACATCTATACAAACACACACAAAAATAAGTAGCCAGGCATCGTGGTACACACCTTTAGTCCCAGCACTTCAAGGCAGAGGCAGGTAGATCTCTGTGAGTTCAAGGCCAGTCTGGTCTACATAGTGAGTTCAGGCCAGCTGGGGCTATAGGAAGACCCTGTCTCAAAAAAAATTTAAAAATTAAAAAACACAAAAAGGCTAGAGATGTAGCTCAATGGCAGAGTGCTTCCCTAGAATGTGCAAGGCCCTAGTTCAATCCCCAGTACCAATAGTTAAAAAAAAGTACATGGAGATGACAGACAGATAATCCAGAGTAAGGAAAAACAAAGTGATTTTGTACAAAGGGTACTCTTGACCTAGGCCTTTTTAGCAAGTAGGCCTAACCAATAAACTAGAAAAATATGAAACAACTGCTAAGTGTGACAGGGAAACTTAACATTCAGCGTATGCTTTTTTCTTTTTTTTTGTTTTAAAACAGGGTCTCCCTGTAGCCCGAGCTGGCTTGGAACTCACTATGTAGACCAGGCTGGCCTTGAACTCACAGAGACCTAAGTGCCTCTGCCTCCCCCAGAGTGCTGGGATTAAAGATGTGTGCCACCACATCTAGCCAGCATATGCCTTTACAAGCAGAAAATCCACCTGCTTTATAAAGGAAAAGACTATAAGACTAGCCTGTTCTTTGTTTTTACAATTTCAAAATAACAAAGACTGCCAGTTTGAAGAAATAACTAATCTTTAGGATGGTCCGCAACTTAAGAATTATCAAATACACTTTATTCTTAAAAATTCTCAAACTTTGCAGTGCACTTCAAGTTGACAAAAATAATGTTAGTGAGAGTTTTGAGCAGAAAAGCAACTATGTACTTTATTGTGACCTTTGTGAGACATTAAGGTTCAGTGTGCACAGAACTTCTAGGCCACAAAGGAAGTGATGTTGCCTGCACGGTGTATGATTGTAGGCTGCGTACTAAACTTCTCCAAGGTCACAAAGAACTTTGAGAATCAAGTACACAACTTCCATTTCTTGCCACTGGGAGCCTCGGTTCTGCTAGCATGAAAAGTATAAGGCAGGTGATGGCAGGCCTCTATTCCTACAGTATTTTAGAGGCATTTACAGGCTGCCACTTGGACATGTGTCAACTCCTGGACCTCTAAGAAGAAAAGTCATCAAACTTGTAGGAAATGTGTTGAACCCTCCTGTAGAAGATTCCCAACTGTGTAAGTACTATGGTGGCATCAGAATACAGACTAATCAGCTTGGTCCTCCTAATCTCTTAGAGAGCATGGAATGACTGAACAATCTCACTTACCTGTACTGCCACCCAGTGACCAGGTTAGTATACTTCATCAAATAGCCATAAACATTCTCCATGTGATCACTATTTCAAAAAGGAAGAGAAAGAGCCAAAATCAAAGAAACAGTTTGAAAACAGCTGCAGAGTCGCCCTTCATATTAATGCGTCAAACTCTTCATAAGTAAAAAACATAGGTTAACTGAGTCATCTGATCCCCCAAATATCATATCTATAGGATTTTATTTTACCACTTTTCTTCAAAACAAGTGCAATCTACCACAAACTATATGAGTTTTCAAATATATAATCATTATACAAATATGAAATTGCATAACAACAAAAAAATACACTCTAAATGCTGTATTACAAATAACTGTGCCCCAAAACGATTCCCTAAAGAGCACTTTCTCTGCTTTGGGGACTTAACACAATTCATCTTCCCTGAGCTACTTCTGTCCATGAAGCCTATTCTTTATCCAGTCCCACAGCTCCATAACTGTGTATTTACTTACACTGTGAACTCAAAGCCTGAGGTCATACATAAAGTAACAAATATTTCCTCAAATCATCAAGATACTTTGTAAGTCCCCATTTGGAGAATTCCTTTTTAGTCTGGGTTTTCTGTACCAAGCCTCTGTTTGTACACAGGTCACCATCCACAGCTATTAACACATCACGAGAGCACTGGGACTTACTTCTAGGAGGGTGTGTATACTTCACTGCATGGGAACTGCTGGAAGATACTTTCTTAAAACCTTAGGCAAACTACCTTAAAAAAATATATAAAAGTTTTACTTTAAAGCAATCAGAGATGACTCAGTGGGTAAAGCAAGGACATGAGTTCAGATCACCAGCACCCACATATGCTGGACCTGACAGCACAGGCCTGTAATCCCAGAGCTGGGAGGAGACAGGAAGCCCCCAGGAGCTCATTGGCCACCCATCTAGTCAATCATTGAACTCCAGGTTCCACAAGAGAGCCTGTCCCAGAAAATAAAGGGCTTGCAAGAACTCTCACTGCAAGAGAAAAATAACTCCTGAAAGTTGTGCTCTGACTTCCACGCATGTGCCACAGCACACATACCACATGCATATATACATGCATGCACACATAAAATAAATAAAATGCAAGAAAAAATTATAAAAAAGAGAATAAGGTGAAGGACAATAGAGGAAGACACCCAGCATCAACCTCCAGCCTTCACACACCTGCACGAGTACAGGCACCTGTACACACGCCTGTAGCGCACACACACACACACACACACACACACACACACACACACACCTGTAACACACATGCACATAAACACAAAGAATGAATAAAGTAAATAAAGTAATAAAAAAATCATCTGCTACCTCTGTTCATGTCATTAATCTTTTTTTCACTAACGATGTTTCCTCATTTCTAAGTTATTTATAAGTCATCTAATAGCTAACAATAAATTTTTCAAGTATATAATTTCAGTAGTATCATCTAGAAAAGCAATCCAAAGTGTTTCTTCACAGGTTACAGTAATGTTTTGTATTCAATTTTCTAATGCTATTAATACTTCATTGGTGAACACATTTAAACTTTTTTTTAATTTTATTTATTTTTATTTTACAGGTCTGAGCGTATTGCCTGTATACTGGATACCTTTTCTTGTCAACCTGACTCATCTGGGCTGAGGAACTCTCAGTTGGGAGGGACTCTCAGTTGGGAAATTGTCTCCATTGGACTGGTCTTGTGGCCTCGTTTGTGGAGCATTTTCTTGATTGTTGAGTGATGTGGGAGGGCCAAGTCCACTGTGGGCAGTGCCACCCCTGGGCAGGTTGTTCTGTATCGTATAAGAAAGCAGGCCAGCCTGGTCTACATAATGAATTCCAGGCTAGCTGGGGCTACAGGGAGACCCTGTCTCAAAAATACCAAAAATGAAAAGAAAAGAAAAGAAAAGAAAAGAAAAGAAAAGAAAAGAAAAGAAAAGAAAAGAAAAGAAGGAAGGAAGGAAGGAAGGAAGGAAGGAAGGAAGGAAGGAAGGGTTGGTTGAGCATGGGCCAGGGGAGTGAGTCAGTAAGCAGTGTTCCTCCATGGCATATGCTTCAGCTCCTGCCTCCAGGTTCCTGCCCCAAGTTCCTACCTTGGGCTCCCTCAGTGATGAACTATGACCCAGTACATGTACGCTAAATAAATCCTTTCCTCCCCAAGTTGGTATTGGTCAGAGATTTTGGTTCTGTCACGGCGACTGAAAGCAAACTAGAACAGCCTGCATGTGTGTAAGTGCTCCTGTATGGTGCAATGCTGGAGGAGGTCAGAAGAAGGTGCTGGATTCCCCTGGAACTGGAGTTACAGACGGTTGTTACCAACCATGTGGGTGCTGGGAATCAAACCCAGGTCCTCTCCAAGAACAGCCAGTGCTCTTAACCGCTGAGCCATCTTTCCAGCCCTAGAGTTAACTTTTAAACCAGGTGCAATGGCACACAATTGCCAATAGTTGCACTCAGGAGGTGAAAGCAAAACAACCAAGAGTATAAGGTCATCATCATCTACAAGGCCAACATGAGACCCTGTCTCAAAAAAAATTAATATTCTCATTACAAGGATACTGACATCAGTTCATTTGATAATAGCAAAAAGTCAGTCCCAAAAGAACCAGATTCAAGTTGTGCATGGGGGAACATGCCAGAAATCCCAGCCTTTGGGAGGTTAAAGCAGGAGGATCATGAGTTCAAGACCAGCCAGGGCTACATAATAAGACCTGTCCCAAAACAACAGCAGAAAAGAACCAGACTACAATAAGGAGGTATAGAACACTGGCTTGCTTTCAATTTCTAAAACAACTGTCTCACATGACACAAACCCACCTGAAGAATATCCTGTTCTTTGGAATAGGGTCATGCCTCCTTCTTAGTCAGTGCAACCAGATGATGTGGAGTGACTATGCCATGTGGTAGCCATGAAAAGATGCTGTGAGACTGAATTTCTTTATTTTATTTTATTTTTGGTTTTTGGAAACCTGGTCTCATGTAGTACAGGCTAGTTTCAAATTCATTAAGTAGCCAAAGATGACCCTGAACCTGATCCTCCTGCCTCTACCTCCCAAGTGCTGAGATTATAGGTGTGGGCCACAATTATGGGCTGTGACTGAATATCTTTGTTCACTCTTTTATCTTCTTATACAAGCTAGCATCCCCTAATCCAAAAATCCAAAATCCAAATGAATTAAAGAATGCATGACAAGTGAAGCCTATACAAGTGATCCAAAACCTGGAAAACTCAAAACCTGAAACACTTCTGGTCTCAAGCACTTCTGATAAGAGCTACTCAACCTGTGACTGAATTATCATGTAATACCTCCAGCACTTGGGCTCTACTCCCAATAGACATATGTGGATTTTTACAGATCTTAATGAGCCTTTTAATATTAAGAAAATCTAGTACTTGCTAGGTGAGGTGGTGTCATCTTTAATCCCAGCACTCGGGAGGCAGAGGCAGGTGAACCTCTGTGAGTTCCAGACCAGCCTGGTCTACTTAGCAAGTTCCAGGCCACCTGGGGCTACAGGGAGACCCTATCTCAAAAAGGCCAAAAAAAAAAAAAAAACGGGGGGAGCCCACACATACTTATTTTATCATGCCCTTTTGTGTTCTGTGAACTAGAAGAACTAATTCAAAAAAAACTAAGACTTGAAAAATAAACTATGAAAAAAAATTTGTTTTCATTTCTTCAATAACTCCACTCTCCACAAACTAGGTATTCTGATCTTTTTTCCTTAACATTTATTTGGAATTGGGCCTGGAAGCTAATAGTTTATAAAAATAGCTGATTAAGCCGTGCATGGTGGCGCACTGAGTTCAAGGCCAGCCTGGTCTACACAGTGAGTTCCAGGAGAGCTGGGGCTACAGGGATCCCCTGCTTCAAAAAAACCAAAAAAAAAAAAAAAAAAAGAAAAAAAAGCTGATTAATATAGCTGGATTAGGTCAATGGTATTACATTTAATTTGATACTCTCCCTAGGTAACAATGACTGCTTCCATTTCTGGTTTGGGTTTTGGTTTTTAGAGACAGGGTCTCCCTGTAACCTCAGTTGGCCAGGAACTCACTATGTAGACCAGGCTGGCCTTGCTCTCAGAGATCCACCTGCCTCTGCCTCCTGAGTGCTGGGATTAAAAGTGTACACCACCACATCTGGCAGTTTTTTTTCAATTTCTGAAGCTCCATCACTACTATACACTTATTTCTACATGTTCATTTGTTTTGGGACAAAGGTCTTGCTACGTAGCCCAGGCTAGCCTTGAACTTGTGATCCTCCTGCTTCATGTCCCTAAGAGCTAGGATCACAAGTGTTAGACCACCATGCCTGGATAACACAGGAATTTCTTAACCTTTATCAGACACAACTGACACAAAACAGTCTGAAAACCCACTGCCAAGTATGGAGAAATTAAAAGGCAATACCTTTCCATCTAAGTTTGTAATTAAGTGTAAAAGAAATACATCTCTAGAAGGAAAACCCCATAAGAAGGGTCACTGCTACTGGAGAAGAGAAACACCAGGAGTGTGTTTTAGCTGCCATCCAAATAAAGTTTTTTCAAGTTTTCGTACAAGTACATATTGCATATTAAACAAGTCCCCATCCTCCCATCTTGCCTTACCCTCCCCTCCTGTCAGTCCCCTTTGTCCCCAAGACAGTTTTTCTTCTATTTCCTGGTCATACATACATGCATGACTTTATGTATCTACAGAAGAGCTAGGAACCACAAATGAGAAGATACGTGCAGTTTGGGGGGGGGTGTTTTGTTTGGGGGGGTTGAGTCAGGGTCTCCCTTAGCCTCAGCTGGCCTAGAACTCACAAGAGATCCCCCTGCCTTTGCCTCCCAAGTACTGGGATTAAAGCTGTGCGCCACCGAACAGTTTTTTAAAGCTACAAACTGCAGGACTTCACAGTGACAGCAGTTGGAGTGACAGGATTCCATGACTGATTAGATGTGAAATGAGAAAGGGACAGAAGAAAAATGGGCAAAACTTAGATTGCAGCTCTAATAACTGGGCAGAAGATGAACGCCTCCACCCAAACAGGGTGTGCAGAGAAGGCTAGGTTTGCTCA